AGGGTTTGAACAACTCTTGGCTAGAATCCTCACAAATATTTAAAGAGGTGATTTGAAATGAACGAACCATTCAAGGAAATGTGGAACATATGTTTATTCAACTCTGAGACTTTTCAAATTTTAAAAAGAATCACTTCAGGATTCGCACACTTGTGCATATTTAACTCAGTGCTTGCTTTGCCTACGGTTTCAGCATATGCAGTTTGATGCTGCTGAATGTGGCCTTGAGTGATTTTCAGAAGGACCTGACAAGACCTTGATTATCCTGCTTCCCCCATCCTCATTTGGGCAGAGTTTCTTAATAGAGCATATCCATGGTTGTTCTATTTGAGAACAATTTATATTTGGCGTTCTATCTGAGAACGCCATTGAGTCTATTACCTTACTGCTGAGCAGCCTGCTTAACGGAGTGAATTTTTTCCTCTTGTCTCGAGGTGCCTAATTTCCATCGGACCATAGCTTGCCTCCCACCCTGATGGTGCACAGTTGTATTTACATGCCATGGTCTTCATCCTTGCTGTGCAGGTCACTTACTGGCTTCCATGCAAGTTCCTCTGTATTTGCTCTTCATTTGGGGTGGGAGGCTGTTGCTGCAACATCTCCAAACTTCACTAAAGAGCACTTGCAGAAGCGCTTGCATGCCAGGACAGCACACTGATCCTCATTCAAACATTCCTGGGCTGGACTGTGGCCAAAGCTTGCTAGCTTCTTTAAGGGGACAAATTTTTGAACAAGCTCCTTAAAAATCCATTTCCGTTTAGAAACTCTCAAAGCAAAGATTTGCATTAAAAATTCAGTTGAACAGATGCTAAAAATGAAGGCATTAGCCTGAAAAATACGATCTTGTAATGGAACTCTGATTCAGTTTATGATCATATGCTTCTACGCAAGTTTCCCTGCAATGACAGCCATCAATCGTGGTTCCTTCATTATTCGTGCTTCACACCTTAGTGCAGATGATCTGCTTTAAATAAGTGATTGCAGTATTTAGTGGGAAAACAGCAAAACTATCTTTAGCCCCTTATTTTCCTGTGCTGACATTTTCATTGGAAGTCCATATGCTTTAGAAAAAGTTGCATTTTCCTATTTATTTTTTCAGTCAGCATCCAGGTGATCTTATTTTTATGAATCTTTTGTAATGGTAAATGAAGGTAGGCATTCTTGTTGCTTTGAGGAACACTCAAACTTCTGGGCTTCCATAGTGCATTGGATGTATCTTTCTAGTCTGTGTTAAATATTATCTTCTGCCATAAATTAATGTTGCTGTTCTGCATTATGTGCCTGAATTCTGATAATACAGTCTTTCATGGAGGTATTATTGAGTAGTTACATTCTTAAGAATGCCCATATACTGCTTTGAACTTTGGTTCTAAGCTTGCACCCCCCCCCCCCAGAAAAAAAAAAGATTCTTCTTGGTAAGTATACTTTTTCTAAGTTCTTGGTAAGAGTATTTAGGATTTCAGCCAGGTTGCAACTATATGCACACACTGTGGAGTATGCCCCACTAACATGTTAGAACTTAATTCTGAATAAACATGAATAGAAACTGGGTACATGTTTTATTGATTGAAGTTGATTGTGGATCAAACTGTGAAGCCTAGCATACATATGTTTGATTTTTTAAAAGCTTTCTTATAATAACTTTTGATTTTTTAAAGTTTCAATTGAACATTGCACTGTATGCATGTCTGATTATCAGTGGTCTTGACTGTAAATGTACATTGCAGATGTTATAGATTGTGTGTGTGTGAGAGAGAGGGGGGATATTTTTATAAATAAACTTCAAAGATTATTGATCCTTAGCAGCAATTTCACTGTCTATTGTATAGTATCTGTTACAGTCTCTGCATTTTAATGAAAACTAGTCTTGCTGTAATATTTCTCAGTTCCTTTTCTCCTATGAGATTTTGATTATGATTGGCAGGCATTACAGTTCATAATCTATTTTGCTGGTGAATTATTAGTATGCAGCATATAATCAAATAAGACAAATAACACTTCCCAATTTTAGATACAGAAAAGATGTAGAATAGATTTAGGAGTTTCTTTTTAATAGTGCACTAATTATATCTAATGATTATTTATGTTAATATGCTATAGCTTCTTATGGTGAGAATTGATATATTCCAAAAAATACACCGCTATTCTGGTACTATTCTACCACACTAACTCAGCAAGTTTAATGTAATGTTTTGAATGTGTTTTCTGTTGGCACCTGCAGAAGGTCACATGCATCCTATTTTTTTAAATAGGTAGTTAATTAAAAGCATATCTGTCTCTTGTAATGATCTTTGACCTAAATGCATGTCTAATGGTTCGGCAGAGAGCGAGGGGGCGGGGAGGGAGAGATGTTATGAGGATCTTCATCAAGGGCTGAATGAGAAAGATTTTCATGGTAGAAATAGTGGTTCCTTCAACCCCTTTTTATCATATATAAGGAGAGAGACCTGTGATAAAATCTGGAATCAGCCTTTTCCAGTCATCCAGAGCATGGCGTGCCCAGTGTTCTGTGCATAAGTCTCCTTTGCACACGGACTATTGTATTCAACCCCATAGAGGTAACAGCTTGACATGTGCATTTTTGAAGTAGTTAGGAAAGTAATTGAAAGCTGAAAAGGATGTTATGTATACTTAAACTTGTGTACCCAAAAAGATTTCTAGGGTGGTGTTTGTTTGTCAGGGGGTGGTTTCTGGCAGCTTAGTTTAGGATCTTGCAAGGTAGTGGAAAAATGGCACTGCATGAAGGAGCCTGATGATGATGGGCCTTCAGCCCATTTTCCATATTATTCACTCCATACCATAAATAAGTGCAACTGAGGATTTATAGTGACATTTTTTTCTTAAACAATACTGGCTAGGGATATAAGTTCTACTAAAAATTAAAGGACAGAATGAGTGTATGCTTGCATTGTAGCAGTGTACAAGAGAAGCAGTGTGGTGTAGGTAAGAGGGCTCGGCTGGCACTTGTAATCCAGCCACAGAGCCACTGGGTGACTGTGGGCCAGTCACAGACTCTTAGCTGGGCCTACTTCACAGGCTTGTTGTTATGAGGATCAGATTGAGAGGAGGATGGGAATAATATAAGCCACCTTGAGTTCCCTGCTTGGAAAAAAGCCAGGGTATAAATAAAGTAAATAAGTACATGATAATCAGGGTTACTGATTAAATGAGGAGATTTTGTTTACTGTTCCAAGGCTTGTTTATATGTCAGAATTGTAGCATGTAACAAGATGGAGGTATCTTGTCTGCAGTGAAGGTACTGCAAGTGCTGTTTTGCTGACCAGATATAATGCTTAACTGAATGCCCCATGACAGGGCAAGTAACTTGTTGCATCCTGATGGTTTGAACTACAGCTCTCCTAATGCCTGATCATTGCCTTTTCAGACTGAGGGCTATGGGAAATCACCCAAAGTTATTGGATGATTTCAGGTTGCTTATTTCGCAGGGCTGGAAATGGGCAAAGGGATCCCTGTAACTACACTTTCTCAAACATTTGACCCTTTTATAGCATATGTATTTGTTATTGTTTTATATAGTAGCATTCATTTACATTTACATGAGAAGATAAGTCTGCATTATGGAAAGGACAGAATAAGAAAAAATGGACTCAATGTAAGTCAAGGGGGTTCTTACATTTGCAGTATGTGCCAACTTAAGCCTCTACACATGAAAGTCTTAAATGAGGATAGTGACAGATAATGGTTTTCTGAAGGAAGTATTGCTGCTTGTATACTGCTTGCATATTAATATCTCTTTCAGGTTTTGCAAGTTTTTGTATTCAGGGAGTGACATTGACCTGGTTTTTATGTAATACTAAACTACATTGTGCCTTAGGTTTGTGAGCTCCCCTCACCACCCTCAATATGGCCACAGTGAGAAGTTTGGAAGGTTGTACATCAATTTTCAAAATGCTACAGTTTTGCATTGTATCTAAACCACAGATGGTTGGGACTCAATACTTGCCAGAATGCCTCTTCTAAGCACAATCTGCCCATATACGATGTTCAGCATCTGAGACCTTTCTCCAAATACCACTCTAGGGGAGGGACAGTTAACAGCAAGAAGGAAGAGGGCCTTCTCTGTGGTAGCCCCCAAATTCTGGAATTTGCTTTTCCCTGAGGCCCGCCTGGTGCCAACTTTACTTATCTTTTCAGCATCAGCTTAAGATGGTCCTCTGTGCTGAGGCAGTTAACTCAAAATAGTATATGGGAAACTATTGTTTTTAGCAGGTGCAGTGGCATGAACTTGGCTTAGTTGCTTAACTTTAAAATTGTTTTTAAATTTTTAGTGAAATTTTATGATACTTTTGTGGTTGTTTGTAATTTGGATTGTATTTTATTGAATTTCATCAACTGTTTTACACCTTCAGCTATTGGGCAGTATAGCAATAAGGTCCACAACAATAGCAACAACAGGTTAATCTTAACTATTGTTTAGAGTAGGAGAATGAAATCTTTAGCTGCATCTTTTTTCCTTCAGCATTGCCTAGGTTTAATGGAAATTGTAGACCAAAACATGTGGAGGGTCACAAGTTGCCCACTGTTTGTTTAGAGATACGGACCAACTTCATTAATGACGGTTTGAAATGTGCTTATTTCTCTAAAACATAGTTAACAGTGACCATGATTTGTCCAGGTTCTGATATAACACTAAACTTTAGTTAGTTTTAAAAGAGGTACTGCTGATTTTTCAGTCACAGGGAAGGAGGAGAGGCAGGACTGAATGAGCTCGAGTTTGTTCGTGTAACAGTAATTGTAGTTTAGCATTACATCCAAATGTGAATGAGGCAAAGCATATATCTGGGTCCAAGATATGAAGCCATCATGGGACTCAAAAGGCAGGTTATAAATCAAATAATGTTAACTCTACACCTTCTTTTCTGGGCTTCCACTTACCCATCCTTTGCCTGAAACAGCCATTTATTTTATTGAGAAAAGTAACATCTCAGATAGTTGTTTTTTTAACATGGAACTGGTAAAGTGTCTCCGTCTTTGTTTAGGTTCTCCAGTGGCGTGCACAGCAGGAAGAGGCTGCCCGATTGGAAGCTGCCATTGCCACTAGAAGAAAGGAAAAGGAAGATGAAAAAGAAAAGTTTCAGAGAGAAAAAGAAATGCTTCGGAGAGCAGAAGATAAAGAAAAAGTATGAAAAGTGTGCTCGTGTGTGTGTGTGTTTTAAATGGCTTAATATATTTAAAATGTAAATTGATCTTGCTACTTTATATCCTTGTAAACAGTTTTCACATTATTATAAAGATTACTGAGTGCTTAATGGAGATTTGCCAGTGCTTGCTGCAGCTTGAAAACTCTACCATTTCCACAGTGATCATGTTAAAGGGTTGGTTTGTTTTGCTTTGTTTTAATGACATTCTCATTAATAGCACACTCCCAGGCAGACACATGTGTCTGCCACATTGTCACAAAGAAAGCAATGCAGAGGAACTAGTGCCTGGCAGATTTTTGCTGTCAAGAACTCATGTGGCAAAGACCACTGTGGTTTCCAGTGCTGCAGCAAGGTATGCTGCAATGCACCAAATAAGCTTCACGATGTAATGTCTGCACACTGGAAACAGAGCATCACAGAGACAGCTTCAGTGAAAGAGCAGGCCTGATGACCAATGTCTGTAGCAGAGGGGGAAATATAATAAAGCGGGCATCAGTCACTACGTTTGGATTAACATTTTGCTGATTATTTGAGAAGCAGAGTTCTAAAGAAAACGTTGAAGGTATCTAAGAAGGAGAGAGGAAGCACCATAGAAAAGATAGGATGCATTGCTTCTTATCTGGATTTCATTTCAAGGATTGTCACTGCTGGAGTTGTAGTCCTGTGTATTGCTTACCTAGAAGTGGGACCCACTCCATTCAGTGCGGCTTATGTCAGAGAAGATATGCATAGGATTACATTGGGTGTGCAAGTTATTTTCATGAAACAGCTTCCTTTTTGTTGTAAGGCTTGATAGCTTCTTTTAAAAACCTCTGCTTTAAAAAAGTTTGTTACATATCAGCCTTGTAACTGAATTTTCCTGAATGCAATGGTAGAGTTAAATCCATTTCTTTCCTAGTCAGCTATAAACAGCAAGAAGAAGGAAAACATAGTGCTATATGGGGGGGGGGGGTGTTTGTGTTTTTGGGATGAGAGTAATTCTGCTCATACGAGTACTTTCTTTCTTATATTCACAAGGTTTGTTCAAATGATTGCACTCCTGCATTTCAGTGTAATCAGAGGTTTTGTTCCTATACAAATGTATTTAGCAGTTAAAGAAAAAGTAAGGGAAAATCAAATGTCCAATGACTTCAAAACAAAATATTGCACCAATCAAGGGGAAAAATGTTTTTAAGCATTGAAATCAGTCTTGTAACATGAGGAAAGAGGAATACTAGGAAGGAAGTCACATGCAAGTTTTTTCAGCTTTCTAAAACTAGGAATTACATACCCAGAGCCAATAGGACTAGAGAAATTATTTTCCTCCTTCCTGACTAGGATTCAAAGGCCTGTACACATTGGGATTTATGTGGGCTGGTTTGTTTTCCTCCAAATTGCAGCTCTTTATGCTGCATCGTAGACTACAGGAGAGATTTGCTAGGTGATAAATGGAGCTGCTTTTCTGAAAGAAACAGTGCAGGAATTTTTGCTGTGCGCTCAGGGATTCTTACCTGTCCCTTTAATTTTCATACTTGCTCATAAATATGGTTGTGAGGCATATCCAGTATGCCTTCTGAGGTAAACGCTGAATGCAGTAGCCACACCAGGGCTGAGCCAGGGCAGATAGATACTGACCTTCCCCAGTCAGTCCATAGTGTACTACACCAGGGTGAACTGAGAGTACATGTCCAGATGCTTTTGATGTCAGTTCCCAGCATTCATGGCCATTGTTCATGCTTCTTGGAGCTGAAATCCAGAACATCTGGAGAACTTCTGCCCACCCCTGCTCTTAACCAGCCAAGTTATTTAGGCATAGGAGGCATAAAATTGCCTTCTTGGAATACCCACTCTCAAGTTGTTAGAGAACTTTGTATATTCAATGCTTGAATTGCTTTCTGGTTTTGATCAAATAATATAGCTATGACAAAATCCAGGAAAGAGACTAAGTTCATGGACGATGGCAAGTCATTTTTACTGAATGCATCATAATTCAGGAAACCATATGAGGTTAGCATAAAATACATGCAGAGATTATACACCATGCATAAAATTTTGGGTAGTGAAGTATGCATAGAACCAATTAAATCCATAGGTAAATTTGCTCCATAAAGGCACTATGATGCTACAGTTTGGAATGGGAACATAGTTTGTTTGTTTGTTTATTTATTTATTACAAACATTTGTATCCCGTCCTTTTGCATAAGCGCTCAGGGCGGCTTACATAGTATAAAATTAAAATAATACAATAATAAAACCACAATTATTAAAAGCATATAAACTGAACATTATCAACTAAAAGGAAAAGGAAGAGAAAATAGAAAATGCGATATAATGTTCATCATAGGTTTATATTCAAATAAGAATTCCAAAAAGGCCGTTGACTCTAGCAAGATTTTATAGGGGGGCATGATTAATCTTGTAGGCAATATTGTGTGTAACAAAGCTAGTAATGCAACTGAATAGATTTCTATTATAAGGCATGATGTTTAACAGATCTGTGTTATTAATCAGAAATATATGATTGCTTCATCCTCATGGTCATATAAAGAAAGTTTAAATAAAGCTGTACTTAAACATTAAATTAGATTAGATTTCAGGACTGTGTTAGTAAACACCAATTTGCAAAAATATCAGCATTTCTCAGAACGCTTGCTTTTCCCTTAACATGCTGATGCATTTCTCCTGGTGCACTGAAATAACTGCATTTGAAAAGAAATCATTTTGAGGAGTAAGTGAACTGTGAACGGTTTCAGAAATCTAAAATAAGCATGTTTTCATTAACTTCCATTAAATGCTTGTATTTCTTTATGTGTGTTGCCATTGTTCACAGTTTTTGTTTGTTTCATTTTCAAGCCCCTAGTTCTGAAGCAGTACTGGCATAACTGGAGTGAATCCATAGAACAGAACTTTCTTGGATGATTTTAAAGGGACACCAAAATAGAATGTGTATGTCACTGACTTTGAAAATGTGGTGCAGAGCTCCTAAATATGATAGTAGGTTTATCTGGACCTCAGTTTTGTTAGATGTTTAAGGCTGCAGAAAGTTAGCTTTTTTATTTTCCATTTGAAAGTAGCCAACAAAACCCCTAATGATTTCACATGAGCGTATATCTTATATGGAAACAACATGTGCAACTCTGCAGTGTAGAAAAATGCCAAAAGTCCGCCCCAGGCTGTATCAGCCCATAAAGCTGGTGTAACATGGCATTCCTCAAGGTAAGGATGAGTTCAGCATTGCATCCTCTCTTTATTTCAACAGCCTGCTAGATTTAGTAGATACCCATTTAGAGTGAGGGCTGCCATCTAGTGTTAGTCTCAGTGAGTTTTAAAACCCCAGGAAACACATAGTTAAGTCATCCAAGCTCCACGCTCTTAGTGAACTGAATAAGGTAGAAATGCTCAGCTTAAGATCTCATAAAACACTGAGTGGGATGGGGGAGACAAAGAATTATTTATGTACTTAAAATTCATCCTAGACATTAAACACATTCTTTTTTGTGCTTTAATGAAGCTATTAATTCGTTACTTATAAATTATTGATATGTCTTTGCCATCTTCATTTTAATAGAACGACATGTCTTCCACACTCAGTCCAAGGTAACTATTGTAAATATGTTTTTGAAGTAATCACAGTTTTGCTCCTCTTACAAATATTAAATTCTGAGGGTGGGGGTTCTGATAAAGAGGAACTAATGAGCCTTAAGAGTAATGCTAGATTACTAGTAAGTTTTTCTGGAAACAACTAAGAGCTTAATCCCTTTGTCTTTTTCCTAGTAAGGAGACTGTAATAAGGTGCAAAAGATCTCCCATCCTTAGATACCATGTGCAGGCCTTTTGTGTACAGTGGGCAAGAAAGGATTGTCTTTTGAAGGAAGTAAACTGAATGTAGTGGCTAAGGTCTCTAGGTTTGTTGAGAATTACCAGGGTGGATAAAAAGCAATATATTTTTTAAAAATTAGAAATTGGATTTTTTTAATAAAATGTTTTTTAGGAAGAATCTGTCTGAAGATAGTTTTCTGTTTATGATACATTATAGTCCAAAGGTTATTCATCCTGAAATAAGGATTAGTTTTTAATGATGTAGCATGAGGCTGTTTATTCATGCAATGTTTAAAATTGTTGGTAATTCCATTAATCCAATGTCATGCTCTTCCAGAGGTTTATGCAGGATTATTGGGAAATTTTTCTATCTAGAAAATTATCACAGATGCTTGGTTTGACAGGTTTCAAAACTGCATTTACATGTGCAGAGATACATGCTTCTTCACAGCAGAAGTTATATTTATTTATCTATTTATTTAAAAATTTCTATGCCGCCCCATTCGCCGAAGCCTCGGGGGGGCTTACAAAACATACAGAGCTGAGAAAAAGACCTTAATCCCATTGTTCCTTTATGAATCTATGTACACAGAATCAGCCCTTTACCTCTTAAGTGCTAATTTTCAAAAACTTCAATGAATAGAAGATTGTTGGGAGTGGAATAGATCTGCACAAGAAGCTAAGTGTAGGAGGGGCAAGCAGCAGATACGAAAGTGAAACCTTTTGAGCAGCATACTCCACAAGTCTTAGGCTCTTTTTGGCTATAGCATGAGCTCATATTATTCTTTCCCTGGAGAACCTATAAAAGAGACTCAGTCTTGGAATATTTTAATGAAGTTTCTCTGCCTACAGACAAGGCAGGCATGTGTGCAAATTATGTAGAAAACCATGATTTAAATCTAGTCTTACTGACTAGTGATTTAAATGGACATTTCCTTCTGAGCTGAAATCTAAACTTGGTAACAGTGCCTTGCAGGTGCTGGGAGGAATTAGGAAGAAACTAATATGAGACTGAGTCTGTAGTGTACTAAACTGCACTGACTTGTGCACTGTGTCCTATTTCCAGTTTGGAACACTAAACCAGTAGAAGCAGACTTCTGGGATGGTATCCCTAACCCTACAGGGAATTACACGTAGTAAGGGGTTGCTGTGCACAGCATTAGTTTCTCTGATCTAATCACCAAAGCTGCATGTATGAGCCATTTCAGAAAACTTAAAATTCTGTCAGCCAGGTGTGTGTTAGGTCAGGCAGGGTGTGATTATATCTGGCCCTCTGCTCACGCCCAAACAGTTGTTTGGTAAGAGTTTAGTTAATTTGAAAAAGGCTCCTTTTATGCTCCGTTGGAGCAAAAGTATTGCCCTAACAGTGCAATGAAAAACCCTCATTATTTCTCAGGACATATTGGGTAAGAGGTTAAGAAGATATGGGTCGTGTCCAGTAGGGTCACTGCTAGCAGAATGGATTTCTGTTCCTCCTGCTGTAGGCTCCTCTGGGTCTGTTTTGAATAAGTGGGGATTCCTAAAGCAAATTTGGAAAGTATCATGTTCCAGGGAGGGAGAGTGGGAAAAGATATTTCGTTATTGAAATGGAAGTCCGCTCACACGACATTGGATGTAGCCTTCTGGCATTTGAATAAATACAGTATAGCTTAAATTAGATATTTTCTCCTTGTTAATAGGTGCACAAGAAGCAGGAGAGTTATGCCATTTTTCCTGGCTATATTGTCAGAAGAGGCCCTCTTTTTGTTAGCTTTAGCCTTCCCATGGCCCATATTTTTTATGCATGTGGACTCTTTAGCTGTGCAAGTGATACAGTAGTGCTTCTATCCATTGGCTAGGGAAACAGAACTGTGTGGCTATACTTTTGGTCATGCAAACCAGCTATCGGACAAGTGTAGAGCTAGTAGCCAACCACGTTGTGGATTGTTAGAACTCAAAGGCACGGCTAGAGCTTTTGAGCTATACTCTCACCACTTGCCTGAGGCCTGATTGGGACGTATGTGGTATTGTCTGAAGTCAAAATAGCCTTCACAGATCAATGCCACAGAACACAGAATGCACTTATCACAAATGCACTCTCTATGCCCCCCATCTTCCAGACACAATTCACACATTCATCTGCAAATCATCAAGAAAGCAGATACTGAGTGATGTACATATTCAATTTTCAGATGTGCTGGAGCTGTCCTGAATGCCATTTTTCTTAGCAGAAAGGAGGCATACAAGTCAAATAATACAAAATTCCATAGCACACACTGAAGCAAATCTTGCCCTGTGAAGTGCTTCTGTAAATATTGCCCTACACTCACAATCAGTTGCCTTCACAGTGAAGCCAGTTCTCAAGGCCAAGCCTGACACACTCTTAATCACACACAGTGTATCTTGATATGTTTGATTTCCTGCAGTGTAAGCACACATGGCACCCACTCAGGTCAGGATCATTGTGTTTCTGAAGAGGAGATTCAGTTTTCTCCCCTATCCATTCCTGCCATGCAACTCCACTGAAAAAAGTCTCCATTGGAGTCTCCATAGGGGAATGTCTACCTTGGCTTTTATTCCAATGGAAAAGGAATATTTGAGTACTATCCAAGATTAGTTCTGGTTAGAAGACTGAAATAAATGAGATTTAGGTTAGTCATGACTTATTGAAGTCCCATTAATTTCAATGAATCTTGTCTAAATAGGGCTAACATTGCATACTACTCTTTGTCCATTTCTTATCACTTCCCAAGGAGACCATAATGTAATTTTACTTGGTCTGTGCTTTAGTATTGTTTTAATTTAAATATGTGAAAGATGTATCTTACCAGGTTGTTTTTAATACTTGTATTTTAATCAAGACCATGACAGAGAGCCACAGGAAGCCAAACAAAGCTTGTAGTGATGGCTGCTTGCTTAGTTCAAAGAAATCGAGAGTTTGGGAGGAGGAGGAAATTGGAACCCCTCCTTTGGAAGTGTTCAAGAGAAGAACTAGTTGTTTTCATTTAATTAACCTTTGGTTTATCTCCATTGTGAGCTGATTCATTTTTTTTCACAACACAGGAAGCACTTGTCCTGTTAATTAGACTTTGCTCAGAGCAAGCACATCCATAGTTGTTGGATGTCATTCTACAAACATGCCAGCCAAACTACCAGCTAAGTTAAAAATATTTTCTGTAAATCGTATTCCAGAATGAAATCTTTCCTTTCACTGGAGCTAGCTTTGATCAGATAATCCAAATGTTACCAGTTCTTCTTTGTTTGCCTTCTGTGACATCTGCTTTCAGTCATTCTGCTCATGTTTTTTAAGGAGAAAAGGAAAAACCCAATTGACCAACGTTCTGGTGCATTTTCTTGTCTTTTTGCACACATTCACATCTAGCATTTCCTCTTGGGTGTTACTTTGGAATGTGCTGTTGCTGGTATTTAAATATTTTTCTTTCATAGATGTATGTAGTGAAGTTTCTAGATGAAAGATAATTTCCTTCCTTCCTGATTTGGAGTGATGAGGCTCTCTGCAATTCCTGCTACTGAATAGGAAGCAAAAGTGTACACTCTAGCAAACACTGTCATGACTAGCAATTCTTCAATTCTTTTCCCCCTTTCCTTTTCAGAATATGGAATAGACAGTTAAATTGCTATAATCTGCAATTTGCTATGGGCAAATAAAAGTGTTATTGTGGAAACCAAAATAGCCTTTACCCAGAGATAGCATCTCTTTCCCCACCCCAACTGCTTTTTATTACCTTGGTGTTCTTTCAAACCTTAGGTGAAAAAATACTGGGCTGACAAGCAACGCAAATGGCAGGAGCTGGAAGCAAAGGACCTACTGCGTTTGGCGGAATTTAAGAAATTAATGGCTGAACAGGTCATTAAAGACAAAGAAAGGTAAAGCTACCAAAATGTTTCGCATCCCTTGGTGGGAAAGGGTTTCTTCAGTAGTGCTTTTCACTGAGTTAAATATTTCCCTGATTATCCAAGGTTCGAAGCCCTCAAGCTGAGATGAAGCTCTGAGGATTAATATCCTCGATGAATAAAAACATGCTAAATTGCTGCAATTTAAGCAGGCTACAATTTTGAGGAATATTTGGGACAGAAAACAGCTATGATTTCTTCCCTCATGAAGGTTAAGCAGGCTGTAGCCCAGCCTTCTTTGGTTCTAACCACACCCAAATTTTTTACCATTGATTCTTCCAACTTTTTCTGAGCCATTGCCTTGTATCAGTTGTTAAGGTTATTTTGAAGATGTATACTCTCATTTTCACTCAAATGATTCTCAAACTTGCAAACAGGTCATAATGCAAACTATCCCTGCTACTCACACACACCAGGTACTCATTGTCCCCTGGCCAGTAGCAGAGGTGTTGCTGCAACTGCCATAACCACTTTTCTATTTTCTGTAGTACCATGTAGCTTTTCCCTACCAATGCCCTTGTCTTTTTCTACACAGTTCAGCAGTGGAGAAACTACTACTGATTCTTGGTTGCTGACACCTAGTTTTCAACCTAAGTGAGCTCTCACTCCTTCCTTCTCAGCTAAGCTGCTTGATGGAAGAGTTTGGGACTCCTGGGTGGTTGACACCAATAATTCTCTGTGTTTGCAGGGGCATTGAATGAGATTTGTTTGCTTCACTTGGCAGAAATGCATATAAAATTACAGGACTTCTGCACAGTAAATGCATTTCATTCGACTTTTCATTCAACTTCCTTCTTGAGTTATTTTGTGCATTAATGTCAATTTGTCCCTTTTCATATATTTTGTTTTAAAATTTCTGACATCTTTCCCTTTTCCTTTGAATCCTTCATTTCATTTCTTTTTCCTTCATTTAAAAAAGGCTTCAGATCTTGATCCACTTTTCTCCTAGCTGTTCACCTGCAGTTCTTTCAAGATCCAGACAAGAATTGTGCTGAAGCTTCAGGACATCTTATCTTCATTGATCTGCCTTTGAGCTTCATTTATTATATAACCTCTACTCTGAAGCATCAGGTCTGCTTAAATCATGCACTTATCACAGCACATCCCAAGTGGCATGGGAAGCACACACTTCCATGATCTGATGACTGGTTGATCAATGGCACCATATTCATATATTAAGTGTCAGATGAGAGATGAAGCTGTGAGTTCAGCATAGATACATACACTACCTGTATAAGTTCTTCACAATTACCCATGATTTACATTATCTTTGGGTTCAAGCCACTACTATCTCCTTTCAGGCCGTGCTGGCCGGTGTTCTGAGGCTGAGCAGCTAACGAAAGGCAGTGCCAAGGGGCACTCCTTTGCACAGAAAAGAGAAACTGAGGCAAATTAACTTTGAGATCATGCCTGTAATGCAGAAGGTTGGTGGAGCAGGGAGACAGGTGCAGTAATACACAAAAGGAGGCTTGGAATTCAGAATGGCAGCAAACCTATTGGTCAGAAAACAGAAACAAAGACTACTTAACTTTAAGATGATGCCTGCAAAGGAGACTGAAATATAAGGGGGAAACAAAAAATGAAAAAAGAAAGAAAACAGCTGGGGGCTTCTGGGACAGGCCACATGTGCTCATGATTGCTCTCCCACCCCCCTGATGGCATGTTAAAAACAAAAAATAGAAATTTACAAATACATTTTTAAAAAACAGGAAATAGCTCTTAGAAGAATGGAGAGAGGGAGGGAGGGAGGGAGGGAGGACTACATGACTCCAGACCTCAAGGTTTTTTGTTTTTGCTTTTTAAAAAATAAGCTAATAACAGCAAATTAAAAATAGCAAATGGCTGCCAGGGTCATTTCCCCCTTCCCCAACACAATTCACACCACAAAGAATTTGAGTCACAAATGAAATGACTTATTTTTTGGTTGCTTCTGGTCTGTTCCCTTTGCCACTGTCTTTCTCAAGAGCACAGGAAGGATAAGGGCAAACATAGCCATATGCAGAAACTTTTTTAGCACAAGGACTTGATTCCTTTTAGAAAATCCTTTGGGGATTTTTATTGTTATTACATTGCATTTATATTCTACCTTTCTTCCTCTTTCAAGGAACCCCAGGAGGCTTTCAAGGTACTCCTCTCCATGTTATCCTCACAACAACCACCCCGTGAGGTAGGCTAGGCTGAGAGGCAGTGACCCAGTGACCTTCATGGTCAATTGGGGAGTACAACCCAGGTCTCCTGACTCTCAGGCCAGCACTCTAAGCACTATACCATCCTGGTTGTATTCCAGGGGTGCATGGAGCTAAAATACCAGCACATTTTTGCCAGTAACAAAAACTCAACAGAAACATTTTCTCCTTTTTGACTAGAGAGAAACTGCACAGGTCAGGAAATTACCAACTCCTCCATGGTTAGCAGAAAGGGCTGTGTAGCAACAGAAGGGCAGGTTGCTTCCCACCCTCTCCAGAGAGCCCTGAGTATGAGGTTCTGGACTCCTGATGTACAGTGAGTGATTAGTTGTCACCACCCTGAATAGGCAAGCAAACCCCTGGGTCCCACTTGGCTCTGCATGAACGAATGACCTAATGAACTTTATTGGGAAATCAGTTGGGGAATCCATGAGGACCAGTCTGTGTGCCTGCTGCCTTCCTGTGGAATTTCATTAGCAATTGTGAAAATGCCTGAGCAAGATCAGGTGAAAGAAGGGGGCTCCAGAGCAGGCACACATGCTCAGAACTACCAGCCAGGCCTGCCCCAGTCTCTGCCAGCAATAACAGTGGTGGCTGGGAAGGGGTTGCATGCAGTAAATGAATAATCTGCTTTAAAGAGGGAACGGTGGCAGAATGCTACCTCTCTCCCCAACCCCCTAATGCTTAAACATGAAACCATCTTTGAAGATACTATTAGACCATTGCAACAGATGGTTGGAGGAATTTGTAGAATACTTGGAAAATGGTAAAAGAAATAAAGGCTGTAAGGAAAGTTTTGGTTTCCCAGTGTTGTGCCCCCTGGAAGAATCCCCCACTTGAAGAGGAGGTAGAGCTCCCAGAAATAGACAGTGCCAAGGAACCACCCATATCAGGAGACCTGGGTCCTCAAGAGAGCTGGATGGGGTGTTCAGAGGTGGAGCCTTTGGCAACCAGCTAGCCCCCAAGAGCATCATCACCTCAACAGCCATGCCAATAGGGGTTTTGAGAAGTAGTCCTTGATTACAATGGAGGACTCCTCAGGAGCAGGGCCCTCCTCCTGCACAGGACTTGTGGCAGATGGCCTGCAACCCATTGCAGCTCTGGCTCAGGAAGCTCTGGCTGTGTGAGCCTTCAGTTTTAGCCTGCCCAGTGCTGGAACAATGTTGTTCTTTCTGTCCCAGTGACAGTCTCCAAGTTATGAACAACAACTTCTTATAAACTGTCATAAAGCCTATTTTAAAAAATTACTGCAAAGAATCATTACCATAGAGGGAAAAAAAAGCAAAAAAGGGGGGGAGGACCTCCCGAAGCATCAACATAGAAAGAGAGGAAGTGAAAGGGTAGAAAGGGAGGCCTCCAAAGCAGGCCTTCCTGTTGTGCCCATCTGGAGAGGGAAATTGCTCTGGCGTTTTCTTCCTGCAAAGAGAGGCACTGGTGAGTTTGGGAGTAGGGGGGGTACTTAGGGATATTCCTGTCTTTTCCATCTTCCTGGGGGTCCTGTGCCTCTCACCGCCGTGAACATGGAGGGACAACTATATATGATCTGACCTGCATACAAATTTGACTTAAAGACAAATTTCCATTTTCCCAGGAACACAACTCATTAATAACCTGGGGACTGCCTGTATTCCAAGCCTTGCCTTGTGATTGTTCCTCCATATTGCTGACCCTTGACTCCTGCTTTGACATTTGCTTTTATCTCAAGAACCCCTGCCTTAGCCTGATTCTTACTGGATCGAAACCCTTTCTGTTTGACCATTTGCCTGTTTGCTGCCTTACCTTTTGGATTGTCCCTTAGTATGCTGTAATACTGAATCTGATTCAGACTTGGCAGGGCACCTGAAACAAACCTTGTTTATCAATTGCAGCTTGAAAGTATATTTGTATAAAAATATAAGCAGGGAGATAACATGCCATTTTTCAGTTCCATCACAGATGCTAGAAAGGTGCAATTCCAGTCTGATGTTTGAATCCCTTTTTATCCGTAAGTGTCACTTGCAGGCTAAAGATGAAGCAAGGACATGTCAGCATTGTCTGTGAGCAAAGATGTAATATCACAAGGTCAAATTAATGTTGCTAAAGAGTGCCTGGGCTTGTCAGCACTTAATAGCTTCAATGATACATATGAGTAATTCCAGATTGGCAGAATAAAGAAAACCAGATATTATTCTTGTGGAAGCTGGATCTTTGTTAAGTAGGGATATTATTATTTGTATTGTATATACTACCTTTGCATGTATATACTACCTTTCTGCCAACATGCTTCACAGTTTACTGCCATACAGAGGCAGCTGTGTATCTAGTTGATGTTGGGATGACACCTGAAGGGGAAAAATTCTTTTGAAAACAATGTCATAAAAGCACACTATGTATGTGATTGATTACTGAGGGGAGTAGGGTTCAATGCAAAAGCAAAGGAATGGGATACGATGATCAGGTGAATCTACTCTGGAGAGACAGGGTGGAGTCTCATTCAGGCTTATTCATTTTCCTATTAATGCTTCTCAGTATAGCTTATGGAGTATTGAATACTTTGGTTTATTGAATTGGAAATGCAAAAGTAGAGACCAAATCATTTGATCCAAATTCCCAAATGTGTTGCAGAAACAGAATGATCAAAGAAGGAAATGGAGATGCTCTCTGAATATCTCATTTGCTCTTTGACTGTTCCAGAAGACTTCTCTCCTGCTCAGTCTCTTTGAATCTTCTATGAATATTTATTCTAGGCAAAGCAGAGAAAAAGTTCCTTGGCAAAATATTATACAAATTATAAACATGTTCATAATGCTTGTTCAAAGCTCTTATACTAAATATGGTAGATACATTTTCTGTTAAATATGTACAAGACACATTCTGAAAGCAATTTTAATGAAATTATGCTTATCAGAAATTGCATGAATGTATATTCACATTACTTCAAAAGATGGCTTTACTGAAACCAATAAAATAAGCTCATTATTCAACTTTGTCTTTTTTTTTTTTAAGAATGTTACTTAACCATGATATTTAGTTAAAATTGAAGATGGAGAGAGAAGGAAAGGTCTAATTTTAATGCTTCCCTAACATGCTAGGATTTACTTTGAAGTTTCTGTATGCAACATGAAGAAGAGGATGAAGCGATGTCATATAACAGTCTGTGAATATACAACCCATATGCAATTGTACGTGTTTGTAGGACTCAGACTGTCCTTGTGCTTTGTATCCCTAGGAGAATTTTTAAACCAAGGAGATGCCATTGCCCCCCTTTGTTATTGTATAAACTTCAAGTGGACCTGCTTGACTGGCCTGACCTTTCTTTCTAAAGGTCAGGTCAAAGTCAGGGCTTAACTAGATTAATATTAATTACATGAATCTAGTTAACATGCACATTTTTATTATGAATATAACTGCAAAGAAGGAGATTAGCAGTCTCAGAACCTCAGAGCGGGTCAGGAAGCATTTCTTCCTCTAGACACCATCCTAAAAAAGGTTACCTTTTGCGAGGTGCTATTTTCATTTCAAGGAAAATTACTATTGGCACCAAGGGAAGGTTCCCTTGACATGCTAACAATGATTTCCATTAGGACCATTGTTAGGACCATCGTACAGCCTTGGACTTAAGGTGACATGGAGTTTCAAAACACAGTCAAGAGGTTATCATTGTTATCCAGAACCCATTTTTCTATGTAGGTTCCCATTTCATCAGATTGCAGCTTAATCCATATGTTGCAGTGTGCCATTCTTCAATCTGTGATAGATTTCCAAATATTGCTTTTGTGTTTCTGCAAAGCTATCATCTGTGCACAGCCAGTTATATTTTGTAGCCATCTACAGAGGTCAAGAGTTCATGCTAATCATTTTATCCTGATTTAATGCCAACATTTCCAAGAACAATGTTTAGGATTGAGATACATGTCTAGCTATCAGTGCAGTTAGGGAATATAACAAATACCCATAGGAATGAACTAATTTGAAAAATAAAAATTCAATCATGTAGTTCTTATTTAAGTTCTTCTACAAATATTTAAGTAAATTAGTGCAGTAACTGGAGGATGATGAATGCTAATAGCCCCAAGATCTTCCTTGTGACTAGTGATGTCTGCATGTTATTGACTAAACACATATGCACTTTCATCCCAAATTTAGTATCCTTTCATACTAAAGCATTTACAGTCGCTGCTTCCAATGTAATTTTGATTAGCACTTAATTATGTCACACATTTGTCTCTATGCTCTATTTAAAGATTTTTAGGAGACCATTTACACAGCCCTTTGATTTCCATAGACAGAGACAGATATGGGAAGTATCTTTTTATCAAACTAATTCCTGACATTCCTAGCTGACAAGTAGAAAGTAGCTCTTCAGTATATTGTCATGGTTGTCTCAAATGTGGATACTATAAACATTCCAGTGTGCAGGCAGACAGTTCCAGATGAATTTTATGAATGTAAAATATACATTCCTTGTGAATGTTGACATTCACCTAAAAGTGAACATCATCCATGTTCACCTTGCAATTGTCAGTATCCATATGTCAGGGTTGATAGTCATCCAAATGTAGGACATTTACAGCATTATCCTTATACATGTATGTTGAATTTAACATTTTCTTTTGAATGCACGTGGGTGGAATTATGCTGGCACTGTAGCATAACATACTGCCATCTAAACAAATCAGATACTAGGTAGCTGCTTCATAGGATCTTAATCTTTATATACAGTTTATAAGTCAAACCATCAAATGTTAGAAAACAGATTAGCACTGGGTCATTGACATCGTGTTTTCTTGTTCAAAGAGTTCAATTTAGACAAAGCCTGCTGGAAAAACGATTGAAGGAGAAGAAAGAGGCGATCCTCAAAGAAGCCAATGAGGAAGAAGAAAGGAAGAGGCGTCTTGATGCTCTCAGGCAACAGGTTTCTCAGCTCATTTCTGTGTTTTGTTTTCATGAACCGCTTAAACTGCATGAAAGGGCAGTGGAGAAATTAGCCTGTCAGACATGAGTAAAGGAAGGGTTCCTCAGTACTCCTGCTTCATGGTGTGTTTTCTGAACACTGATGTATTTAGGCCATCCAGCAAAAGCTGTTGATCCTAAGATCTAAATATAGGCATTTTTTTCTTTCATGTGCATGAAGCTAGAATAAAGTGGATAGGTTCCTAGACTGGGTGCACAACCTCTTTGGTCCTTGTGAGCCTGCTGAAGGTACATATGCATGCACAACAGATAGTTTCACACACAACTCTGTTGTACTTACCACTCTTATACTTACTTAACCATACAGTAGCCGATCTTTCACCTTGTAGAGACAGTGTTACAAACAGCAAAAAAATGAGGAAGGAAAACATGCTAGGAAAAGGGATATTGTTCTTGCAATATAAGCCTTATTCCTAAAATGCCTCCAGAACACCCTAGTGGGATGCTCTAGGGTTCTAAAGTAGGAGTCTGTTCCTAGATAAATTCTCTGCCCCCAACATTCATTCCCTCCTTTTTTCACAGCAACAGATGCTGGGGGTCTGGGGGCCACAAAAAGTTTTCTCAGTGTTCATTGTCCACCCATACCAATATTTGCAAACACTGTATTTGAGATATTTCCCCCTTGTTTTCACTTCTATATGAAATATCTATTTTAAGATAATTCCTGATTTTTTTCATATCTGTACATTAGTACCTGGTCATTGTAATACAAGGCTAAAAGTTTCCTGAGAAAATGTTTGCATTTGTACCATGCTCTTACATCTTTGCTCAATTCATCCACTGTGAATGCATGCTCTCTCTCTCTCTCTCCCACTCCCACAACATTCTCTCTCTCTCTCTCTCTCTCTCTCTCTCTCTCTCTCTCTCTCTCTCTCTCTCTCACGCACACACTTTTTCTCTTTCTTAAATCTCAGTTTCAGTACTGTACTGACCGAGCTTAACCATGCTTGGGTGTTCGTGAGAAAGAGTGATCAAGAAGAATCCATAAAACAGGAAGGGAAAGTAAAGCTCATACTTTGATTTAAATAGATTGCTGGCATTTTCAGAAAAAAATGTGGAGGATGCAGGGAAAAATCTAGGCAAAAGAGTAGATAGTCATGTAAGGATGGCACTAGGAACTGGAAAATTGAGCAAGTTATATGCGGCAATATTGAGAAGTGTTAGCTTCAAGGCATTCAGAAGCTATTGGCAGCAGAGGCCCTCCTCCGGGAACCCTCCATGAAAGACATTAGGAGGCAAAGTACCTGGAGGAGGACTTTCTCTGCGGTGGCGGCCCACCTATGGAATGCGCTCCCCAGAGAGGTCCGCCTGGCGCCATCGTTATTTGTTTCTCGGCGCCAGGCTAAGACCTTTTTTATTTCAGCAATATTTTAATAACTTTTAATATCAGTTTATAGGTTTTAATATGCAGCCAGGGTGGATCTGGATTTTATCTGTATTATGTTTTATTTATGTAAGCTGTCCTGAGGCTATGCGATGGGATGGCATATAAATGCGCGCAATGGCATATAAATTGCATTTAAATCCTACTAATCAGATGCTTTTTTGCTACCCTCCCACACCACAACTTTGTGGCTAGTGTACCAGTAAATACTATTTTTCCTTAGCAAAATGGTGAGATCAAGATATAGCATGTAGAGCCAGATTCTTCTGAAAGAAAGAAAGAAAATCTTATTTGCAAACATTATCAAAAGAAATATATATTTCTAAATGCTACTCAGATGTCAGAACATATCCTTGTATCATGTAAGAAGTGTCCTGCAGACATTAGAAAAAACTTCATGGATCTAAGTGAGAAGGACCACACTGATGAAAGTGCCAGAGGTCCTCTTTCTGCTCCTTCTGTAACACCATCATCAGCACAAAGTTTTCTCATCAGCAACATCTAGTAAACATACATTGCAAACTACTCCATCCTAAAAATACCCAGTTTTATTGTAGACAAGGTGATACATGAAAATCAGGAAAACGAGCAGGCTTTTGGAAGAGCAATATATTCCTCTCAATCCAATAACCAAAAATTCATATTGACAGGATGCTTTTAAAGACCATCATACTGTTGGCCCAGCAGACATTCTTTGAGCAAGTCTCTTTTACAATCAAAATATATACACATAATGGAATATATGCAAGGAAAAATAAATGAAGCACTGTATCTTACAGCACCTACAGATGGCTTTAGAGATGCAAAGGAAGAAGGAATCCTAATCTTTGTGATAACACCTCAACCCATTTTTAAAAAGCATTGGAACATGAGAGCACAGACATACTACAGAATATATCAGTTGTAAAATATGTGAGGTCCAACAGAAAATTGCAAGTAAGGAAGTATTTGCTTTGCTGCCTGACAGTGCAAGTGATATGAAGAGCATGGGAGTTGTAAAAAATGTACAAGTGACTCATACTGTAGCTGTAGTCTTCAAGAGGAAGCAAGAAAAATGCAAAAACTAAAATAGGGACACTCTGTGGTAAAGCTCAATAGGTGAGAGTGTAGATCTTGGTTGAAAGTTTGTAAAAATAACAATGAAGCTCGTTAAGAAACAATAACAGCTGAAGATCTTAAAGTACCCAGAAGTGTAAGGAACACTGCACTTGATGAGGTTGTCTGCCGGGTTCAGCTGCAGGACTCCCTGATGATTCTAAGGCCAATTCCTTCAGCAATTATCCTTTTGATTCTCCTGGACCTTTCAGGAGGCCTGTCAATACCGTTGACCATGGTATCCTTCTGGAGAGGTTGCCCAAATGCTCTGCGGTGGTTCCACTCCTATCTGGCTGACCATCTCCAGATGGTGGTTCTGGGAGACTTTTGCTCTGCACTATGGAGTCCCACAGGACTCTGTTTTGTCCCTCATGCTTTTTAACATCTACATGAAACCACTGGGAGAAGTCATCAGGAGGTTTGGGCTGATGTGTCATCACTATGCTGATGACACACAACTCTGCCTGTCGTTCTCATCAAATCCAGGTGAGTCATCTCTGTTCTTGAGCAGTGCTTAGGCTCAGTAATGGACTGGATGCAGGCCAATAAGCTGAAGCTCAGTCCAGAAAAGATGGCAGTACTATTGGTGGGGAGTCTGTCTATCCAACTGGGGAATCTTCAGCCTGTCCTGGACAGGGTTGCGCTACTCCTAAAGGACGTGGCTTGCAGCCTTGGAGTGCTGTAGGTTCCCAAGGTGTCACTTGTTGCTCAGTTAGACTCATTAGCCAGGAGTGCTTTTTACCAGCTTCGGCTAGTATATCAGCTGCATCCCTACTTGGATGAGCAGAGCCTTGCTATAGTTATCCATGCACTAGCAACCTTACTCCTGGATTACTGCAATGCACTCTGTGTGGGACTGCCCTTGAAAATTATCCAGACATTGCAACTGGTTCAAATTAGGGCAGCACACCTGCTGGCCAGGATGGGTGTTCATGAGCATATCACTCCAGTCCGGAGACCTGCACAGGCTACAGTAACTGCCAGTTGCCTTCCGGTCCTGATTCAAGGTGCTCACAGTAATATATAAACCCCAGTCAGGGTAATTGAGAAAGAGCCTATCTCCATATGCACAACCTAATCATTGAGGCCCTTCTCCATATTCTTTCCCCAGTGAAGCAAAAGGGGAGATGGCAAGAGGAAGGGCCTTCTCCGTAATAACGCTCCAACCATGGAACTCCTATCAGAGATTTGGGTGGTGCCAACTCTTTATTCTTTTAGGTGCCAGCTTAAAACGTATCTCTTTCATAATCGCTTTGGTGGGTGAGCTGTCTGGTTTAATGTTTTAATGGGCTTAATGTTCATGTTGGTTTGCTGCTGCCATATTCTGATTTTAACACCTGATATTTCTTATTATGTGTAATTTTTATTTATCTTATTAAGGTCATTTCAATATATATTAGCTGTTTAGTTTTATGTCTGCTTTTATCTCATTTTGTCTTATTTTGGGATTATTTTACTTTACTTTTTATTTTACTTTTACTGGTTGGTTTTATATTGTGATTGTTATGAATGAACTTCATTGTTTTTAATTGTTGCTAAAATGTTGTTTACTATGTTGTGAGCTGCCCACACAGCCTATGGCTAATGTGATGGCATACAAGCCAGAAAGATAGATAGATAGATAGATAGATTGCTACATCTGAATCAAGTGATGTGCCTTTGAGGGAAATTTCTTACCAACTGGCTAAGGTAAAATCAACTGTACTTGAGAATCTATGTGCATATCCACTTACCAGTACAGAGGAAAGTAAAGTGAGAGCTTTAAGAAATAGAAATAACGTTGCTGTCATCCAGTTCATGCTACTGCAAATCTTCTGGCTCCAATATTCAAAGGCAGAAATATAAGTGATTATAGGGTTTCTGCTGCACTTGCCTGGATTACAAAACAAGCAGCACACTTAGGGCATGATGTGGAAATGTACTTTTGAATGTGACAGAATATCTTCAGGGCTTTGGTCCAGAAAAGCATTCTGGGTTGCTGCCAAATGTTTCCTTCCTGCCACATGAAGCCATAGCCTTGGCACAACACAGCTGCTGACTCCTCTTCCCACCAACTTTGGCTTTCTCCAGTTCCTGCAGCACATGAAAGTAACTGGTCAATGTTTGGAAATGCATGAAAGTCAAGAAATAAACAGATGTGTGAAAGGGTAGAGAAGCTCGTAACAATCTGGACAACTTTGCATTTTTAGAATTTTGTGATAACTATGATGAAGACAAAAATGAAGCAGAAGAAATAGAAATACAAAACTGAAGTGGATAGCAATAGCACAAAATGAGATAGATTAAATTTCATGTATGTTCACTGAACTGGCTTAATACTCTCCATTTTTTCATCAGTCTTTTTTATTGGAATGGATGTTTTAGATCTGCTTGACACAGGGGAAGAGTGAACTAGAAAATAAATATTTTTCTTCGTTTTACCAATATTGATGTTTTCCTTTAATTTCCTTGTTTTTTCTACT